GCGTCGGGGCGCAGGCAGACAGTTTTTCTGTTATTTTCTTGTGGTAAAATATACATACTGTAAAGTTTACCATCTTAACCATCTTTAAGTATGTAGCTCAGTGGCATTAAATGCAGTCACATTGTTGTGCAAGCATCACCACCATCCGCCTCCAGAACTGTTTTCTTCTTCCCACACTGAAACTCTGTGCCCAGCAACCAAATAACCCCCCATCTCCCCTCCCGCAACTCCTGGGGGCCACCGTTTACTTCCCGTCCCTAGGCGTCCGGCCCCTCTAGCTACCTCACACAAGTGGAACCATGCGACGTTTGTCCCTTTGTGTCTGTTTTATTCCACTTGGCGCGGTGTCCTCAGGGGTCACCCTCACTGCAGCAGGTGTCAGGACTTCCTTCCTTCCTGAGGCGGGGTGGCCGCAGAGTGGGTGTGAGATGTGTGCGCCGCGGCTCGTCCACCCACCGATGCACATCGGGTGGGCATCTGGACCAATGTTTCCGCCTTTCGGCTCCTGTGAAGAATGCTGCGAACGTTTGTGGACCAACGTTTATTCAAGTCCCTAGTTGTAAGTCTTTTGCGTGTGTACCGGGAGGTGGCAGTGTTGGATCACGTGGAAATTTTGTTTCCCACAGAGGCTTTTACATTCCCAATGCACGAGGGCTCCAAGCTTTCCATATCCCCATCAACACTTATTTTCATTTTTTAAAATAATAACTATGCTAATGGGTGTGAAGTGGTATCTCATTGTGGTTTTGATTTGCTTTTTCCTGACGATTAGTCAGAGATGCTGAGCATCTCTTCATGTGCTCATCAGCCATCTGTGTATCTTTTTTGGAGAAACGGCTATTCAGGTCCTTTGCCTATTTTTAATGGAGTTGCTTTTTGTTGTTTCTGTTGAGTTGTAGGAGTTTTAAAATGAATTCTGAATATTGTTTTTTGTCGGACATATAATTTTCAGATATTTTTTCCGATTCCATGGGTTGCCTTCTGTTGACAGTGTTCTTTGATGCAAAAGGGTTTAATGTTGATGAAGTTCCATTTATTTATTGTTTTTTTTTCCTCGTGCTTTGGTGCCATACCCAAGAAATCATTGTCAAATCCAATGTCATGACGCTTATCCCCTATATTTTCCCTGTATTTTCTTCTAAGAGTTTCATGGTTTTAGCTTTTACGATTAGGCCTTTGACTCATTTTAAGATTATTTTTGTATATGGTGATGTTGGGTAAGGGTCCGACGTCATTCTCTTTTGCATGTGAATATCCAGTTTTCCCAACACCAGCCACTGAAAAGACTGTCCTTTCCCCGTTGCATAGCCTTGTCCTCCTTGTTGAAAACCATTTGGCCATAAGCACAAGGGTTTATTTCTGGGTTCTCCACCCGATGCTAGTGGTCTGTATGTCTGTCTTTGTGCCGTTACTGTGATGTGTTGTACACTTTATTTTTATCATTTTTATTTAGGGCTGTAATGGGTTCACAGGAAAACCGAGCAGAAGGAACAGAGATTTCTCGGGGACTCCCTGTCCCCACATGTGCACAGCCTCCCCTCCGCTCAACACCCCACACCAGAGTGCTCGTTTGTGTGCGAGGCCTCCCCGCCGTGTCCTTTCACGGACCGAGAGCCCATTTCTCTTTGGCACTGAACAATACTCCTCTGTCTGGGCGGACCGCAGTTTATGCAGTCACCTGCTGAAGGGCATCTGGGTCTCTTCCAGGTTTCCACAAGTACGAGTAAAGCTGCTATGAGCATCTGTGTGCAGTTTTTATGTGGATATAAATTTCTGACTCATTTGGGTTTTATGCCAGTTGTTTATGCCAGCAGTTGACATCTTAGTGATAGTAAGTTGTCTGGTCCATGAGCATGGAGTGTTTTTTTTACTTCTGTGTGTCTTCATTTTTTTCCACAACGTTTTATCATTTTCAGGTCACACATCTTTTGCCTCTTTGGTTGTTTCCTAAACATTTTATTCTTTTTTGATGCTATTGTAAACAGGGTTGTTTTAATAATTTCCTTTTGGGCTTGTTTATGGTTAGTGTATAGAAAAACAAATGATTTTTGTGTATTGATTCTATATCTGCAACTTTGTTGAATTTGTTTATTTCTAATAGTTGTGTGTGTGTTTATGTGTGTGTATAATCTTTAAGGCTTTTTACATATAAAATCGTGCCATACGCAAACAGATATTTCCCTTCTTCCCAATTTGGGTAGCATGTATTTCTTTTCTTTGCCTATTGCTCTGGCTAGAATGTGCAGTAGTATCCTGGGTAGAGGCCGAAAAAATGGGCATCCTCACCTCATTCTTGACCTTGGAGGAAAAGCTGTCAGTCTTTCTCCATTGAGGATGATGTTGGCTCTTTAAGCAGTGTTTTAAGAGATCTTAAAAAGAGATGGGGTTCAATGGAATTCTATGCAGCAGAAAGAAAGAAGGAGCTCCTACCCTTTGCGACAGCATGGATGGAATTGGAAAGCATTACGTTAAGTGAGATAAGCCAGGGGGTGAAAGACAAATACCATATGATCTCACCTTTGACAGGAACCTAATCAACAAAACAAACAAACAAGTAAAATATAACCAAAGACACTGAAATTGGGAATAGGCTGACAGTGACTAGAGGGGAGAGGGGAGGGGATTTCAGGGGAAAAGGGTGAAGGGTTTGCAAAACAAGTATAAAGGACACATGGACAAAAACAAGGGTGGGGGTGGAGACTGGAGGGAGGTTGGGAGGGCTAGGGAGTTGGGCTGAGGTGGGAGTAAAAGGCAGAAAACTGTACTTGAACAATGATTTAAAAATTTTTTAAAAATAGCAAAAAAAAAGAGGTGAGGTTAAGAAATCCTGGGACCTATTGAAAATTACGTGTCTCTGTTCTCAGGGTCTAGTACAGTGTCTGGCACATAGTGATTATTGAATGAATGAAAGAATGAACGAATTTTTAAAAAGGCAGTTTTTCAAAACGAAATGAGCTAGAGGCACTTCTGAACGAAGGCTTGATTTGGGGTTCACGAAGGCAGCGAGCACTGAAGGGTGACCCTAAGGGTGAAGGAGTCACCAGTTGTCCGCTGACACGGAGCAGGTGTTGGTCCCACATTTCAAGCAACATAGCCGCTTGGATCTTAGCAGACTTTGCTGGGTAGTACGCTTTCCAGAGCTGCCTCGCCGGTTAAGTGTATGCCCTTCTCCACAGCAGCCCCTGCAGTAGGAAGAACATAACATGTGCTGTATCTCTCTGTATTTCTGACTACTGAATCAGTAACTTCAGTCCAGTGGATGCAAAGAAAATGTGTGCAGTGCTGTAAGTTCCAGATGGAGCTTGTTCACGCGAATTGAGCGTGTCATAACATGTGCCTCGCTTTGGCACAGCTTTGAAATACTGTGCATGATTCAAAGTGCTTGAGTCTGTGTGCCTTGGTTTTAGCTGGGGGTAGTTGGAGAGCTTCGAGTGGCCACCATGTCATTAGTACCGCTGGTATCTAGCCCTCTCAACCTGGAATAGATAAAAATTCTGATCGACTATAGTCTTAGAGTGGGAGGATCAAATGATTTTATTTAATGTGTTGGCATTTCTCTTCATTGGGACTTTAAACAGGCAGGTTCTAAATAGGAACTAACATGTCCCCACTTTTTCCTTCAACAAACAGGGGTCATTCGAGTTACAGATTTAGAACTACCTTCTGTAAATGCAGAATTTGGTAACTTTGATAATTCTGTAAATGCCGAATTAGATCAGATTTGGTTAATTTGATAACTTAGGCTGTAGTGGAAAGAGCAGGCCCTTTGGTTTCAGTGAGGGAAACCCTGTAGCTTGTGCAAAAAGCGATGTGTTCTAAGGATACAAGGCTGGCTTCTAGGAGCCAAGGACAGCAAGGACAGACTCAGGAGGGTCTGCGCCTAGGACCTAGAAGCCCTAGGAACTGAGGTCCCTCAGGCTGTGTCTCGAGGGCCGCAGGGTCTCACCTCTCCTTCTTCCTCTGCACCTGCTCCTTTTTTCTCTCAGCAGATTCGCTGCCTTCACTTCTGTGTGATGCAGCAAGCACAGCTGCCCGGCTCTGGCTTTTTATCACCTCCAGTTCAAGGGCCAGCCAGGGCTGCCTGGCATCTGGTTTCCAAATTCCTGGGAGAATCTGGTGATCTCATCTTGAGTCAGATGACCGCTCCTGGTTTGTTCATTTATTTATTTAAAAAGTTTTACTGAGTGCTGGCTCATGTATCTCAGCTGATTGGAGCACCCTCTCATAACCAAGGGGTTGCAGGTTTGATTCCGGGTCAGGGCAAACACCTAGGTGGTGGGTGCATGTGACCTCTGCCTGAACACATGCAGTCCTTGGTCTGGGCGTGTGCCGGAGGCAGCCAATCAATGCTTCTCTCTCCCATTGCTGTTTCTCTCTTCCCCCTCTCTAAAAGCAATGAAAAAATGTCCTTGGGTGAGGATTAAAAAAAAGTCTTTACTGAATGCCAGAAAGTGTTTTAGACACAGGGGAATGCATCCTACCTTCCTGGACTCTGTGGTGTGTGTGTGTGTGAGAGAGAGAGAGAACTCGTTCTTTGGGGACTGGGTTAAGAGTTACTATTTTCAGAGAAAGAGACAGACGTATGTATGGCTTAGGATCCAGATAGATCTGGATTCGAATCCTGATTTTCTCTCCTTACCAGCCCTGTGTGACCTTGTACGTATCGGGTTACCCCTCCCAGCCCCACTTTTCTCATCAGTAAAATGGGAATAGTCCCTTCTGGGTAGTCCGTGTATTAAAATGGAAGGGTAAAGTCGTGAGCGCAGTGCCTGCCACACGGACTCGGAGCTGCACGCCTCTCTGGTTGTGACCCTGAGCAAATTGCTTAACCTGGTTTTCCGCCCGTGAAATAGGAAAGACTGTCAGCTCCCTCCCGTGCTCACTGCGAGGACCAGTGCGTGCAAGGTGTGCCCGGCTCCGGGCATGTGTGCACAGCAGATGTCAGCGTGGCTGCCACTCCTCTTGCTCGTTATTAGTCACGTTTTTTCTCTTTCTTCTAGTTCCCTTTTGGCCGACGCTTGCCATGTGACATCTACTGGCACGGTGTTTCATTTCACGACAGTGACATATACTCCGGTCAAGTGAACAAGTTCCCAGGTATCTGCTGCGGCTGTTGGGGTGTACAGGTGTTTCCAGGGCTGAGTCTGGGGCGCACCCATCTTCAGGGACAGGATGTGCTTTGAGATCAGACGCGGGCCCCTTCACTGGGCCCGGCTGCCACACTCTGCTGCGGTGCCACCCGCGTGGCAGGGGCCTTAACGCAGAGGGGCCAGGGCTTGGCCCACCGAGGGTTTAGAGATGGGAGGCTCAAAGACGTAAAGGGACGGGCTCTCCGGGTCTGACACCCCTGTCGCAGGCGCGTGACTTCCACCTTGCTGGTTAGAGATGTCACATGGGGGTGTCGTGAGGGGGCTGCATTCTCCAAATGAAAAAAAAGGGGCCATTTTACTTAAGTAATTTACTGAATAAAGTTCTAGGAACATGTCACAGAAACAGATGCACAGTTTTCATTTTCTCTAAGCATCCCACGTGGAGGTGCCACTGTAATCCACGTGCACCCGCCCGCCCGGGGGCCAGCCCCGGTGGCAGGGAACCTCTGCGGCTACCCAGGCCGTTGCCCCAGGGAGACTGGCCAGCGGGAGGACTCCGGCCTGGACAGGGGGCACGGCCGACCTGTTAAGAGACCTGATCACCCCACTCCCAGCCTCCCCTCTGCCTTTTCATTTTATTTTTAACCTCTGCCGCCCTCTTCTGCTGGGAGCGCTGCTCCTTCTTTTTAATGGCTCGGTGAAGCGGGGTGGTCCCAGTGAGCGGAAGTGCTGGGGGAAAGGGGCGTTGGCGAAGCTGGGTCTGAGCCCCGCCAAAGGGTCTTCCGCTGATTTTCAGAAATTTCAACACGTTGTTCAAAACATGTTCTGATGCAGTACGTTTTTAAAAAGGACATCACCCGAACCCGTCCCTCATTTAACAAAACCACGATGTTGATGTTTCCATATTCCTCCCAAACCTTAACCACGATTATGTATCATTTTTTTGTAGTTTCAGTCCGAGTGTAGTTGCCTGATAGAAGGTGTTTTCTCCTAGCATTATATTCTGTATGCTTATTTTAAAAAGGAGAATCAATCTATTTTTCCTTCTTGGGTAGTCCGTGCTGCCTCTGTAGGAAAATAACCCTCAGAACACCTGATATCCCCATACACTGGCTGGGTGTGCCCCGTCTGCCTGGGAGTTTTCAACTGGGCGTGCAAATTGCCCCCAGACACACGTGGCTCAGAATCACTTAGAAGGAGACAGGGCAGGAGACAGGGCCCACCCACCGGGCAGCGTCAGGCATTTCTCCCCAATGGAGTCTTCGCAAGGGTTCCGGGGGCCAGTGTCTGTCCCCTCAGGTGTGAGCTCGGGGGCAAGGAGACAAGGCCCAGGTCTGTGCACGGCAGTCCAGCAGTCCGTTTCGGCTGAGACGGCTGGAAGGAGCCAATATCTGGTGGAGCTACGCCATAGCACAGCTTCCAGGGTCCCCGCCAGGGTCGTGCTCAGTGACCAGCACCACCACCCTCGGGGAAAGCCCGGAGCTCTGGCTTCCTACCAGGTATTCATGCAGTTTGCCAATCAGGGGTCGTTTTAACCATGCGCTTTGTTTTCTAGTAGCACAGCTAACTTTCCACTTTATTGGTTTCCAGGGGAACGGAGCTAGAAAATTAACCCGGGGTCAAGTTTGTCCTCAGAGAAGGAGAGAGGGTTTTGTTGAGGGACGAGAGCGGTGCTCGCAGCCAGGGTTCTCGCGCACGGCTTCATGGGATAGCTGTTATTTGCTCTCTCTGGCTGCTCAGGAAAGGTGACTTTCTGATGGCACTGAAGGACTCACTGGGAAGTCGGGAGAACATAATTTGAAAGAGAACAACTCTTTGAATGAGGACAGAGCCCCTAAGACGTGAATCATCCAGTGAGGCTTCATTTACGTTTTCCCCTTTGCCCGTGCCTCGTCTAGTGGCCGAGAGAAGGAAGCGAGTCAAGCTGTGACTCTGCATTCAGAGCACAAATTAGTAACACAGGGGAAAACGCCCCCGCAGGACTGGGTCCGTGAAAGGTGACAGAGGCATAGTCGTCTCAAGGCAGCAAGTCTGTCCCATCCCACGTTCCACGTGCTGGCGATTAGGACATATCATTTCTTTCTTTTTTTTAAAGATTTTATTTATTTATTCCCAGAGAGGGAAGGGAGGGAGAAAGAGAAAGAGAGAGAGAAAAAGAGAGAGAGAGAAACATCAATGTGCAGTTGCTGGGGGCCGTGGCCTGCAACCCAGGCATGTACCCTGACTGGGAATCGAACCTGTGACACTTTGGTTCACAGCCCGAGCTCAATCCACTGAGCTACACCAGCCAGAGCTAGGACATATAATTTCCACTGGACTAGCGGCAGCTACTTAGCTCTAATGACACAGCAGGCCCTCGAACCTATGGGCAGAGGAGCAGGTGGCTGCGCCCTCTGCTCTGAGAAAGACGGCCGTCCTCTGTGGCGGGCAAGCGCAGGTGTCCTTCGGCTCCAGTGTGTGCCGAGGCTTACCCTCTGTCTCTCTTTACGCCCCGTTATGTAGAACACACATTTTGTGCGCACGGCATGTGACTTGCACTAAGTCCCAGTGGACATGCCAGGCAAGTGTAAACACTTCTCACGCTGAATGGACGGAAAACTTTCGGATATGCGCATGGAAATAATTTATTTTGTTAGTGCCAGCACATGAGCGGTTTAGCCACTTTTCAATGGGCAATTTCCTTCCAATGTTATTGTATCTTAGCTGATGGATTAAGACTTTCTATAAAAATAATCTGATTTAGATGTGTCTCAGTGTCCAGAACTGTCAGTTCTTAGCTTACAAACAACAGCCTTTTGGTGAGTGTCAGGGTCTGAGATGTTGACGGCATGTGGTGGGTGGTGCCTGAGAGCCCACCCTGGGGAGGGGGCTTTCTGTAAAGGGTGGACTGGCCCAGGGAGGGACCCATGGGGCAGCCATCTGGCATGCACTGGTTTGGGCTGAGGACACACAGACAAGGAGAAAGCCACGTAGAGAGGGAAGTGTAATACAAAATACGCACTATGCCAGAGGAAGTTTGGATCTCGGGCACGTGGCCTCACCCAGACTTGCTTGGGGGACGGGCAGGGTGAGAGACACTGGGGAAGATCAACATGCTCCCGGGGATGGATGGGACTGAACCTCGTGCAAAAGAAGGGGGCAGAGTTGGTGCACAGATGCAGACCGAGCACACAGCCCGCTCAGCTGAGGGCAAGGGGCCCAGGATGGTTAGAAAGGGTCACGTGTAGTAGGCAGGGACAAAAGGTCACAGGAAGCCGCTGAGGAATTTTTAAGCCAGAGAGTGACAGGGGGCAGCTTGGGTTTTAGAAAGGTCAGCCAGAGGGGGTGCACTGGACCTGGGCAGGAGGCCGAGAGACAAGGTGGAGAGAGAGCTGAGAGGCTGCTGCAGCATCCAAGCAAAGGTGAACCTACTGGTGGTGCTGGGACTGGAGAGAGGAGGATGGATCTGAATGTCATCTGCTGCCTGATGACTGTAATGTGTTTTTGTTATAAATGATACTTGTGTTGAATAATGCTCCCAGTGCAGCTCAGATTTTGTTTTGTTCTTGGGTATTTTTTTTAATTGGGCAAGCCTGAGGATCAAGCTGTTATCCTCTTGGGTGGCTCCACACAGGATGAGACCCTCGAGGCCTGAGTCTTCGATAGAGCAGAAACAAGCCAGGCCTAGAGGAAGGGGCAGGAGGCAAGCTCCGGTGTGAGAAGCTCCAGCCTGATGAGGGTGTTTTCCCAGTCGATAGGGGAACTGCCCAAACAGGGGTGTCTAGGGACAGCCCTTGATGAGGACCCCAGGCAGGCAGGCAGGCTCCAAAGAACCTGCGAGTGGGCGCTGAAGCCCCAGGTGGGAGGAGCCCCGCTCTCTCAGGGTAGACATGGGGGAAGCAAGGAAGGGTCGCTGGAGAGAACAAGGCAGAGGCATTGCTAAGGCAGCCACTCAGGTACCAGGGACAAAAGACAGGTTTCCAAAATTTGGGGACAAAGCAGTGGAACCTCAGAAAAAAACAGTTCAAATCCTCCTTATTTAATTGGACTACGAAGTTGGGGTCAAAGATTGCCTTGCTCCCAATCTTGAGGGGAGCTGGTGTTAGACCTAGCACTTCTGTCTCAGGTCAGATGGGTCCCAGAGCCCAGGACAGGGGTCACAGGTGGGGTCAGGTGCTGCAGCTGCTTGGAGGAGAGAGGTCGAGTCTGGAGCCGACAGAGCCTGGCCATGACCTTCCTATTCACATACTTACTTTGCGAACATGGGCTCTGGCTCAGCCAGAAGGCCAGGTGCTCTTGTCAGTGTCTTACTGAGAGCAGAGGGCACGCCCCACATCTGTCTCTGAGCCCCTGCCGGAGGTGGGGGTGCCAGTAGCTTCCTCGTGGGGTCCGGTGAAGGGTGGGAGACATTCTCCCAGGCAGCAGTGGGTGGCAACACAGCCAAGATATGGTGGGGCAACAGATCTTTGGTGGGCAACAGATTGGGGTAGGTCTCCACAGGTGCCTTCTGTAGACAGGTGTCCAGGTGGCATTAGAGCTGAGCTCTCTGTCTATAGCCAGTAGGCTGGAAGTGTCTGGGAAAAGTAGCCACGGGCTTCTAGGGTTGCTTCTGAAGTTGGCTGTTTTCAGGAGAGAACAACCTGGAGACAGACTCGAAGGCAACCTTGGAAACGGATCTGTTAGCTTGTGCGGGGCCCGCTGCCCCACACCTCGAAAGGGGCCACTGCAGACTGACGATGAGCATCCACTTAACTCGCTGCACCTTGATTTGCACAGAGCTTTCCCGGAACATTCAGATCGTGCTCCTGTGCCCTCGGCACTTCCGTCTGTGTTGTGTGTGTCCTTCTGACCCGCTGAGGGGTTTCGGGAGCTTCCCCGGTCACAGCCCCACCAACGTACAGAACCCACAGCGCTCTGGTCAGGAGGCGGCGTCTGTTGGGTGTGAGGTGTTTAAAACTATATGGCAAGTTTTTAGTTTAAAACTATAATTAAAATCCTTGCCAGACACAAGTAAAAAGTTTCTAAGGAAGTTGAATGTGTGTTTTTACGTGCTTTTCATCCAGCTCCAGTGTTTAGAACTCCAGATTTCTAATTTCATCGGGGAATAAAAAGGAGTAGCTATAATTTTCCTAACCCATTCTTATTTTTTGGGAAGCTCAGACTGGTGCCTTCAGTGAGGGTTTGTTTTTTGTTTTTTTGTAATATTGAAGAGTCCACATGAGAGCACAGTGTCTTAGTACTTTTTAAGCTCCTTTACGTCTTACTTAATCCATCTCTATATCCTTCTAAATAAGAACTAAGAAGCAGGGTATTGACAATCTTGAAGTTCCGATCTTTAGATTTGTTGCTCTTCTGAGTGTGCCCGGGGAAGCAAGAAGTAGTTTATTGAAACCCTCAGCCGCACGTGCTTGCCCTCTGCTTCCCGCACAGGGGCGTCGAGAGAAGCCTCGTGCACCCTCACGGTGCCCACCTGGGAGGTGTGACAGTTCGGACACGCCGGGCTGGCACGGAACTCTGTTCTTTCTGTCGAAAGTACCTCCGCGGAGCAGATTGCCAGTGTCGGTGACAGGCCTGTGGGGCTCCTTCAGGGCGGACGCCGCGCTCAGTCTCGGTCTTGAGCGGTGGTATTTGCTTTAACAAAGAAGCACGTTATAATGTAAAACGAATTACTTAAAATTTGCTAAGGTAGACACTCAGTTTCCTCTCTTGTCAGAGTTATTAAAGATATGACCAGGAAAAAAAAGTCCCCCATTCTTTTTAAATGTTTTCCAAGGGAGGCATTTCAGTCCCCTCTGGATAAATCAGTGAGATCTGACCCATGTGGGCGGATCCCTGATACTTACAACCCAAGGGCTCCTACGGATTCTGCTCCCCCGCCCTGAGACTATGAGTTACGCTGTGGTATCTTTTCCAGTTCCTGTCCTCATTTCAAAGAGACAGATTTTATGTGGAAAGGCGTATATTTTTCCATTTTATACCTTTAATATTCATAAAAGGCTAAAACAAAGAAACTTAGTTAAGCTTCTCCTAATGTGAGCAGAGTCCACTAGATAATATTCTCGAGGGTGTGAGACGGAAGGAATCCCAGAAATATGTATGTTGGCCCCAAATTTTAAACAAGGATGAAGTTTTAAGTGCGAGATATAATGCATTACATTGTTTAGGGGGCTGACAAAGAACAGAATAATAAGCTAGGTGGAAACTCATTCCTTCAAGTGGATGTCTCATTTTTATAGGAAAAAAAATTCACCCCTTACCTCAAGTTTTTCAGTGATTTGGTAGGTCTTTCCAAACCACGAGTCACCGCTGTGGGGAGCAACTCATACTTTCTTTAATCCTGCCCGAATACGTGCATATGGGGTTAGGGAGGTTGGAGAAGGCCCAGGCCATGGCCGCTGTGCAGCGGGCGGCCCGCGCTGGGGAAGCCTCACCGCCTCTCTCCTCCCCAGGCATGACGGAGATGGTGCGGAAGATCACTCTGAGCAGGGCCGTGAGGATCATGCAGAGCCTCTTCCCCGAGGAGTACAACTTCTACCCTCGTTCCTGGATCCTGCCCGACGAGTTCCAGCTCTTTGCCGCTCAGGTGCGTGCTGCTTCACCCCCCGTGGCCCGGGAATGACACTGCGGTTGCAGGTTGCAACCGTGTCCTGGGCGCCGGGGTGAGGGGTCCCCGGGAAGCCGAGGCTGGCCCAGGGAGTGTCTGACGGGGCACAGTAGGTGTTGGCAGCCATCACGGCAGACTGCGGAGCTGACCAGGTAAGGCGACAGGTCGGTGAGCTGAAGAAGTGGGTGTTGACATGAGGAGACAGTTCAGACGCTGACATTGGAGCTGCACCCCGGGGTCAGCATTCGGGGAGCCAGGGAGACAGAGCTGGGACAGCTGGCTGAGCCCGCAAGAGGACTGGGACTAAACAGGTGAATCTGGAGGTGTGGTCTCCCCAGCATCCCGCCGTGTGAAAAGAGGAGGCTGGGCTCCGTCTCGGGGCCGGGGGCTAGGTCTGACAAACCGTGGGGCGGGGGACCCTTTCGGGTGTCCTGCTTTACATTTGTCCCAGAGTCCATTTCCAAGCCACCCACTCCGTATCACGGCAACATATCTGAGCACGACATACTTTGGCTGTTTCACCATGATTGTGAAACAGAGCCAGTGGGGAAGCTGAATTCGGAATTGTCACTGTGGTTAGTCTTTCAACGGGTGCAGTTAGGATGGTCTCAAAGCCTCTGTCAGCGGGCTCCACGGCCCATCTCGCGCCTCCGAGGGCAGCGACAACAGGCACCCGCCTAACCGCGACGTGGGTGGCCCCATGGACCGGTCCTGCTGGGCTCCGTGCTGCAGTGTGCTGCCAGAGGAACCTTATTTCTTCTGGTCCTCACAGTGGAGTTGATTGTATCGATATTATTATCCCCACTTTGTGGATCAGGAAACCGAGGTTTTGAGAAATTAAGTGACTTGCTTGAGGAGTGGGGTTTAGACTTAGAGCTGATTTCAAGGTCTGTGTTTTTATCGTCTGTTTTATTGCCTGCAGGTTGTTTTGGTTGTTAATAGTAAATCATGAAACTTGTAATAAAATTAGAACTTGTAAGGCACCAAAAGAGCTTGAAGTGGTAATTTTTGAAAGGAAGCTCTCGACGGGATGGTGTCACATGGGTCTGTTCATCTCCCAAAGTTCATCAGAGCGCTAACTTAAAATGAGGGCACTTTATTATATGCAAATTATCTTTCAATTAAGTTAATTTTAAAAAATAAAGTAAACTGTCAGCTGCTCCCCATGCTGACCCCTCGGTGTCCCACCTGTGGGTTCTGCTCCCAGTGAGGGATACCTTCCCTTCCCGTTTCTGCAAGTCTTTCCCTGTCCGTTTCGCAAGGCCGAATTTAAATGGGATTCCAGCTGCGCCTTCGAGATCAGGTGAATGAGAAGGGTGTTCCCATCATCTCCCAGAAGCTCCTCTGGGCCTCTGTGCAGCCGCTCTGCTCAGCCCTCAGCCCGGCCGCTGCTGCTCTGCATTCTCCCCGCAGGTTAGTTCGGCCTGCTCAGGACATTCACACACACGGAACCCACTAGTGTGTACTTTTCTGAGTCTTCTTTTTTCTTCCAGAATTATGTTTTTGAGATTCACCCATGTTTGTTGGGTATGTCAGTAGTTGGTATTTTTTGGGTGAGAAGTGTTCCACTGTGTGACTGTACCACAGTTTGTTTATCGATTCCCCAGTTGATGGGCATTAGGGTCGTCTCCGGTTTGGGGATATCATCAGTAAAGCTGCCCAGACTAACCATGTACGTAAGAACTGGGGCAGGAGGAAGAGTGTTGAGCATAAGGTAGGTGTATGTTTAACTTTGTAAGAAATGGCCGGGCCCTGGCTGGTGTAGCTCAGCATATTGAGCGTGGGCCTGTGAACCAAAGGGTCACTGGTTCGATTCCCAGTCAGGGCACGTGCCTGGGTTGCAAGCCAGGTCCCTAGTGGGGGGCATGTGAAAGGCAACTGCACACTGGTGTTTCTCTCCCTCTCTTTCCTTCCCTTCTCCTCTCTCTAAATATAAATAAATAAACTCTTAAAAAATAGTAAAAACTCTTGCACTAAAAAATTAAAAAAAAAAAAAGAAGTGGCCGGGCTGTTTTCCAAAGTGGTTGTAACACCTCACATTGCCACTGGAGGCGTGTGGGAGTTCTGCTCCTCCCACACCATGGCTAGTCCTTAGTTCTGTTAGTCTTTTGAATTTTAGACATTCTGGGAGACATGTAGTTGTAGCTCTTTATGGTTTTAATTTTATAGCCTCCTTGATGTCTAGATGTTGAGCATCTTTTCCTATGCTTTTTGGCTGCCTGAATATTTCTTGTTAAGCATCTATTCAAATTTTTTGCTAATTTTTAGTAGTATTTTACTGTTAAGTTGTGAGTTCTCCATATGCTCTGTGTATAAGACTTGTGTGTGTGTGTGTGGTGATGTGTTTGTGTATGTGTGTGATTATGTCCTCCCACTCTTCAGTCTTAACCTTGAGTTTGCATTCTTAACTGTCTTTTGAAGAGCAAAAGTTATTAATTTTGATGAAGTTTAATTTATCATTTTTTAATAGTTTGTGCTTTTGTGTGATATCCAAGACATCTTTGCCTAATTAAAGGTTATGAGGATTCTATGCTTTGTGTTTTTTCCCTAGAAGTTTTACATTGAGCTCTAAGATCCACTTCAAGTTAGTTTTTGTGTATGGTATGAGATTGGGGTCGAAATTTGCTTTTTTCTATATGGATATTCCGGTTTCAGCACCTTCTGTTGAAATGGCCGTCATTCCTCCGTTGAATGACCTCGGCATCTCTGTGGAAAAGCAGTGGATCACACATGTTTTGGCCTGTTTACAGACTGTTTAGTTCCATGCCTCTGAGTGTTTACTCTTCTGCTAGTGAAGCCTCGGGCTCCATAGTGGGTCTTGAAATCAGTGATGCCAGCCTTTCGGCTTAGCTTATCCTCAGAATCGTCTGGCCGCCGCAGGCCTTGCGTATTTCCAGATTGACTTTCCAGTCAGTCTGTTCCGTTCCCACAAAGACGCCCGCTGGGATTTCGGCATTGTGTTGGATCTGCCGACCAGTTTGGGGACAGGGATGTCTTAGCAGTGCTGAGTCAGAGCCATGGTTTTATCTCGCTTTGTTTATGTCTTCCTTATTTGTCTCAGCAGCGTTGTATACAGTTTCCCCTGCCTGTTTTCCTTCCTCATGCTACTGTAGATGATATTCCTGAATTTCATTTTCCTGTCGTTTGTTGCTAGTGCTAGACATCCAACTGACTTTAATTTTGAACTTGTCCCATGGGGTCTTGCTGGACTCCCTTATTAGTTCTAGAAGTTCTTTTTTTGGCACAGTTGTTAGGATTTTCTATGTGTACGATTAATTCGTCTGCGAATGAATATGTTATTTCTTCCTTTGTAATCTACATGTGCCTTTCATTTCTTTTTCCCGTTAAAACACGCTGGGCCAGGACCCATGTACTGTGTGGGACGGAAGTGACTAGAGGGGACATCCTTACCTCGTTCCCCATCCCGGGGGCAGCGTCAGCCTTTCACTGTTGAGTGTGGTGTCAACCAGAGGTTGTGCGTAGGTGCCCTTCATTAGGTGGGCGCAGGGGTGTCTCCTGTAGTTTGCAGGAAGTTTTCCATCATGAATGGGCACTTAATTTTGTCAGATGTCTTGCTGCATCTATTAAGATGTTGTGAGTTCTTTTCTTTATTTTAGTAATATGACGAATCCCACTGATTAATTTTTTAAATGTTTAGCTAAGCTTTCATTCCCGACATAAACCCTGCTTGGTTCTAATGTATTATTTGTTTTTATATACTTGCTGACATTTTGTGAGGAATTGTGTCTTCTGTGTCTTCGACCGTGAGACAGGTTGACATTTCATGTCTTTGTCTGGCTTGGTGTCAGGCAAGCTTTATTAAAGGAGTCGGCAAATGCCGCTTCTGTTTTTGAAGATTTTATATAATATTAGTATTATTCCTTTCTTACATGTTTGATGGAATTCACTGTTGAAGGTATTTGGGCATGGAGCTTTCTTTCTGAGAATACGTTAAGTTTGATTTTTAAAAATATAGGTAATTTGTCTTTCAAGGAACTAGTCCGTTTCATATAAGCTGTCAAACCTACTGAAATAAAATTTTTTAAAATAGCATTTCCTTATTTTTTAACATCTGTGAGATATGTATCATTGCTGATATCGATAATTCGTGTTTACTTTTTTCATGATCGGTCTAGCTAGAGGTTACTAATTTTTTGCTTTTTTTTAAAGAACCAATTAATGATTTTATTATTTTTTCTCTCTTGTTTGTTCATTTTCTATATCATTGATTTCTAATTTTTATTATTTCTACTTCTTTTGGGTTTACTCTTCTTTCCTTTCTAAAATAAAAGGCTATTTTAAAGAGGAACCTAAGTTCATTGATTTTAAACATGAAAGCAATGCATTTCCCTCTAAGCACGCCTTGCTCTCTCTCTCATTGTAAGTGTGTAGAAGTGCGGTTGATTCTTGTGTACTAACTTTGTATCCTGTAACCTTGCTCACCTCTTCCAATAGTGCCAGTAGCCTATTTTGTAGGTTCCATAGGATTTCCTATATAGACTGTCATGTTCTCTGAGAATAGGATGGTTTTGTGTCTCGCTTTCCAATCAGCCCTTTATTTCTTTTTCTTGCTTGATTGTCCTGGCTAGAGCCGCTGTAAAATGATATCTGAGCAACAGACAGGCTGAGGGCTGTATCTAGGCGTTAAGACAGGAGTCTCATGCAGAGAGGGACCGTTAGAAGGTGGAATCCAAGGCCAAAAGTATCCCCAGACCAGAGAGGGCATGCGTTCAGGGATCTGGTGGGAATGCCGTGGCCAAGACGGGAAGCCCCAGAGGAGGGGCAGATTTACTGGGGAAGGTGGAAACCTGAGCCAGTGCTTGTTGCTTAACTGACAGGTTTCTGGTTTTAGCCCTTAAGAAAGATGCTCTATCACCAGTAAAAGGGGCAGGGGGTTAGCAACTGCTCTGTCTCTTCCTATTGTAGCATTCTAAGCCTTCACATGGCAAAGCCCATCCGACTGATGCTGAAGGTGGTTG